GTTGGTTTTATCCCAGATGCAAGGAAGTTTTAACATATTCAAATCAATAAATGTAATTGAATAGAATTAAGGATAAAATCACTTAGTCACCTCAATAGATGCAGAGAAAGCCTTTGACAAAATTCACCACTTATTAATGATAAAAACATTGAAGAAATCTACCTTATCATCATAAAGGCTATATACCAAAAGCCCCAACCAACATCATAGTGAATGGGGAAGAAGTGAATGCATTTCCTTTAAAATCTGTAACACGTCAAGGATGTCCATTCTCACCACTCCTATGTAATATAATACTAGAAATTCTAGCCAGAACAATTAAGCAAGAGGAGAAAATAAAAGGGATTCAAATAGGAGGAAAAATAATTCAAATTACCACTGTTTGCAGATGATAAGATCTGATACTTAGAAGATCCAAAAAGTCCTACCAGCAACATAGTTTACAAAAATCAGTAGCTTTCCTACATAACAACACTGAATCTTCTGAGAAAGAAATGAAGAAAACAATCCCATTCATAATAGCCTCAAAAACTAAAATAAAATACTTAGGAATAAATCTAACCAAGGAGGTGAAAGACCTCAACAATGAAAACTACAGAACACTGAAGAAAGAAATTGAAAAAGATACAAGAAAGTGGAAAGACCTCCCATATTCATAGATAGACAGGATTAATATTGTTAAAATGGCCATACTACCAAAAGCAATACAGATTCAGTCTCCATCAAAATATCAATGACATTGCTCACAAAACAAAACAAAAAAAGTTGTAAAATGCATTTGGAGGAATAAAAGACCCAGAATAGCCAAAGAAATTCTAAACCAAAAAAGTAATGCTGGAGGCATCACAATACCAATAATATAATTCAAATTATACTCCAGAGGTATCATAACAACATAAAATGGCTCCAACATAAAAATAAATACATAGACTAATGGAACATAATAGAAGTCACAGAGACAAACCCATACAGATATAGTCATCTAATCCTTGACAAGAGTGCCAAATATCAAATTGGAGAAAAGAGACTTTTATAACAAATGGTACTAGGAAAAACTGGTTATCCATATGTAGAAAATTAAACTAGAACTTTATCTTTCATCCTGCACAAAAGTCAACTCAATGTATCAAAGACCTTTGTAACTCCTAGAAGAAAATAAAGAATCAACACTCCAATGCACAGCCATAGGCTAGGACTTTCTCACTAGGACTGCTAAAGCTGAGGAAATAATGCCAAGAGTTAACAAATGAAATGGCATCAAATTAGAAAGCTTCTGCACAGCAAACAAAACAATTAGGAATGTGAAGAGAGAACCTACAGAATGGGAGAAAATCTTTTCTAGTTGCTCTTCTGACAGAGTATAAATATCTGGAATATATAGAAGCTGAAACAAAACAAAACACACACACAAAAAACCCCAAATAATCAAATTAATAAATGGGCAAATGAAATGATACTTCAAAAAAGAAGAAGTACAAATGGCCAACAAATAAATGAAAAAAAAAATGTTCAACATCTTTAGCAATTAGGGAAATGAAAATCAAAACTACACTGAGATTATTCATCTCACACTAGTCAGAATATCAGTCATCGCAAATACAAACAATAAATGCTGGAGAGGTTGTGGGGGGAAAGTAATATTTTTACATGGTTGGTAGGATGGTAAATTAGTACAGCCCTATGGAAATCAATATGGCAGTTCCTCAAAAATCTAGGAATGAAAACACCATATGACCCAGCTATACCAGTCCTTGGTATTTATCCTAAAGAATTAAAGTCATCATACTATAGTGATACTTCATACCCACGTTTATAGTAGCACAATTCAAAATAGCCAAATTATAATACTAGCCTTGGTGTCCATCAGTGAATGAATAGGTAAAGAAAATGTGGTATGTATATCCAATGGATTTTTAATCAGCCCAAAGAAAAATGAAACCATGTCATTTGCAAAAAAAAAAAAAAAAAAGGATGGAACTTTAGAGCAGTATCGTAAGCAAAATAAGCCAAGCTCAGAAGGTCATATGTTTTCTCTCATATGCAGAAGGTCGAGACAAAAAAGGAAACGAAAAGTGTGTGTATGTAGGAGTGTGGATCTCATGAAAATAAAAGGGAAATCAGTAGAATAGAAAAAAGGGGAAGGAGGAGGGAAGAGAAGAGGAACTATTAGGAATGATATTGGTCAAATTATATTGTTAATATGTATCAAAAAATCCCACCATTATGTACAACTACAATGTACAAATAGAAAAACATGAAGAAAAAATATATCATCTGGGAGGTAAACTTTCTGAGTTTTGGCATATTTCAAAATGTCTTGGTTCTGCCCTGGCCCTAATTGACAGTTTCAGAATGACTTTCTCCAATTTCAGTTTCCAAAGGCAAGCATTTCAAACTGTACTGCAGTATGTTTTGATATTTACATCTGAATCTTTGAATAACTTGCTTATTGAGTCATTTCTTCATTTTTAAGTTTTAGGTTAGGCTCTACAGAAGATAAAAACTTAGTTCCTTTTTTTTTTTTTTTTTTTTTTGTGTGTGTGTGTGTGTATGGTCCTGGGGATTGAACCCAGAGCCTTGTGCATGCAGGGCAAGCACTTTGCCAATTGAGTTATATCCTCAGCCCAAGTTTCTTTTCTTTTTAAACCAAACCACCATTTTCTCTCATATTCGCTTCCTCTCATCCTCCTAAATAGGATCTCACTATGATAACTTTGATGATTTCATTATTCAATAATTTCATTATCATGACTTTATAGGTGCTATTCATAACTGAGCTAAATAATGTTTCCTTTCTAGCACTTTTTTTTGTTTTTCTTGAATTTAGTAATTTTTAAATTTTTGTTTAGTTTTCTGTTTGTGATATATAGTCATAGTCTAAATTGCCTTTCAAAATATTCAAGCGCATCAAGTATTCCATTCATTTTACTTGAGGTTTCTCTCCTACATTCTTTTAATATACTCCATTTGAACTTAACTGTTCTCAAGATGTGTGAAGTAGCTATGATATTAGATTCTTTTTTCATCTTCATTCTGAGCATTTTCTTTACCTCTCATTTGGGTTTGATCACCCATTTTTTTTCCATAGACACTTAAATTTTTATTTGAGTAATCACTCAACATATTCATACATAAAATGGGTGACTGCTTTAAAGCTTTTGAACAAAAACAATATATGCTTTATCAAAATACTTTAATAGTGCAAAAGTATATCCGTATATATACAAAAATAGGATCTAGACGAAATGGCAAGCCTTTTGTAATAATTCTGATGGCATTGATTGAGAATGAGTTGCTAGAACACTGATGGCATAAGGATCTAACTTTGAAAATTTCTCCCCAGTTTGCCTAAAAGTATGCATGCTTAACACAGGCAGTTAAAAATAAATATAGATTTATCTACCAAGTGCAGTGTCTCTAGGAAACAAAAGGAAGAGAGGGATTCTTATCTTTAAAATAATCCTCTAATGCTATTTGCAACTCAAGCACTGGCCTTCCAAAGGAATGTGGTTGATTCACTTGATAGTTGTGAGGGCCACAAGATTCCTTGCTCTTGGTATTCTTTATGCAGCTGCCTTATTTCTGCAGTGGAGGTCCCAGGGGTTTAATGAGGCTTTTAAAGAAACACCTAATTATGTAGCCACTTGATCATCCATTTTATGAAGCATACGATTCTTATCTTTTTTCCCTCTTATTTTATTGGAGCACCTCTTCTGGTAACCTCCAGGAAAGATGGACAATTACTTACTATTCTGTTTATAGTTGTAAGTTTATGCCATTAAATATATTTCATTTATTGACTTCTTCCACTAGCATAGACCTCTGTTGAAAATCCAAGAGGGCTAAGGATGAATCAGAGGTGAATTGAGCTTTACTGGGACTCTAATCTCATTTTGCATGGTTCCAAACTGGGTTTAGATGATCATCCATCATTCAGTTTATGTGGTGGAGGAAAGGTCTTTAAATAGTCTTTATAGGTCAATAACATCATCTATAACTTCTAAATTTTTTAAATGAAAAATACTTTAAACAAAAAATTACAAGACATTGCCACCTAACTCCAATATCTGGGTTACCTATAGGACTAAAAAAACAAGAGAAAAAAATAACAGCCCTATAGGTATCCCAAATATTAGGGTTAGGTGGCAATGAATTTTAAACAATTGTGATTAATATATTCAGAAAAATAGAGATTTATAAACTATATAAAATAATCAAGTGTTCTAGTATAAAGTTCATTGGTATACTAATTCTAGTATAGTTCAATTATAAATTCCATTGATTAAAATTAACAGTCTAGATAGGTTTACCAGTAGATTAGTCACCAAAAGACAGAATTGGTGAACTGGAAGTCAGTTCAGGAGTAAAAGAAAAAAATGGAAGGTAGAGAAGAGAGTCCATCAGAGACATATGAGACTCAGGGAAAAGATCTAAAATATAACTGGAATCCAATCTCCAATTGGAGAGAAGCAGTATTTAAATAAATTAATGGTCAAAAGTTTTTTTGAAAGACATCAAGTACAGATTTAAGAAACTCTGAAAACCCTAAACCGTATTAAAATATCTTACGCAGGGAACTTTTTCTTAGAGTTAGGAAAAAGAATGTCTTTTATAGTATGGAGTGGTTAATATGGTGGCAGGCTAATAATCACCTTTTCTATTTCTCCTTAAAATAATTTATTTTTCATATTTCCCAGTAAAGAATTTAATAGTTGCATTCTTTAGTTTCTGCTAATAAACATAGCACCTTATGCTTTCTAGGTTATGTAAAAGTTAGATTCTAGTGGAACAATATTCACACCAGTATTGTTCTCTAGATGAGATTCTAAATGCCACATATTTATTATATATGGCATTTATAAATGCCACTGGGATACGTTTCTTAGCTTATTTTCTGCTGCTGTCATAGTCTATCACAGTTTGATTAATTAATAAAGAAAAGACACTTTTCTATTTTTAAAAATGAATTAAAACTTCTAATTTTTCTTTAAAAAATTTAGAGATTACCAAGGGAAAAATTAAGAGAAAGAGAAAAGACAAAAAGAATAAATGGAAAAGAGAAGGAAAGGTAAGTGATTGTGACTAATTTAAATAAAAATAAGATTGACTGCTGTAGGATACTGTACTTTCTTATTGATCAAAGAGCACAGAATCTGCAGGGTATTTTGAAGATAGATATAAGGTAAAGAATGGTTAACATGTTGGTGCTAAAGTAACAGTGCCTTTTTCCTTTTCTTCAGATATTCAGAAAACTATATACATAATTAAAACCCCAAAACTGCAAATCTTTTAACTTTAAAATTAAATTAATTTTAATTTTTCATTTTATTTTGCCTTTTAGTTTTGATGTTATAAAGTGGTTATAAAATGCATATTTACTTTGAAAAATACAAATAATTGGAAGGAAAATTGAATAACAGGTGAAATGGCCACACTTTTCTCTTTAATTCATCCCCCTGGGGTTATCACTCTTAAAATTTTTGTGTATATCCTTAGGTTCTTTCTCTATTCACATGGAAATAAGTGAAATTGATATAAATAAATGTACATAATTTTCAGACATTAACAACCAGCTGAAGCAGCATACTGAAAAAGCCAATCTTTTAGCAGGGCATTTCCCTAGGAGGCCTTTACCCCCAGAGAAAAGCAGTTTCCTGGGGCAGGAATTGGAGTACAGAAAGCTTTAGGTAATTAAACCAAAGGAAAGCAATAAGAATCTCAAAGAACCAAGCCAGTTTTTTGTTTCTTTTCCCCTAAATCTCTCCTACCACTTTGCTTACTGCAAAATATACTGTATTCGAAATTGCTATGATCCCATCACTAATTTTTCTATCAAAAACTATCAAAATTAACAAATATACTAAAAATTAATCAAAAGATCTACTGGTAGCATATAAATAAGGAAAGGGATATAACTGCATAAGAAAAAATTAATTCTCCAAGTCACAGCCAAGGAAAGAAAAAGAAAATTTTGGCAAGGCCCTTCTTCAATGAAACTATGCTACAGAAAGAGGGTAAGAGTAAAACCAACCAAACAAACAAACAAAACCACAAAACAAAATAAAACCTATGTTCTAATAAATATCAAATTTGGGTAGAAGCATCCTGAGAGTATGACGAGATTTAATTCTGAGAAAAGTTCATGGAAAAATTCCAAGTAGCAGCTTTTCCCTCCTATTTGAAGATCTCCCTGGGGCCTAGCATTTTGGTTTCTCAGGGCTGTCTGATAAGGAAGTTGTCATGCTGCTTTCTTAGTCAGAAGCAGCAGATGGAATTCTATACCTACTCTTATATTAATGAGTAGAGGAAAGTTCTATTTGGGTTTGAGATATTTGATCATCCTCAAGTTGGTTAAACTAGATGGTGATCTTTAAGAATCTTGATTAATCAAATCTTCCAACAGGTTCTTGTTGAATTGTTGAAACTTCACTGAAGTCCTTAGATCTAAGATCACCAGCAATTGGTCCTACATCAGTGACTATAGGATCTACCCTTTTCTGCCCTGAATTGCCTCAGGACCTAATGGCACTGAAACAGCCTGAACTTAGAACATAGGTCCCTGGATCAGATCTGCGTTGTGGTAATTTTTTGCTCCCAGGAGCAAAGACATCTGGAATTGGTGGATTCTGGAAGCAGATAGTTCCTTGCTGAAAAGCAGAAAATCTCCAGACAGTTTCATATTAGGTCCCAATTTGTCTATTAAGGATAAACTATTCATTAACATGTTTTCTTGTATAGATGGTCCCTGGTTAACTCTGGTTCCCTTCATTTTGTAAAAAGTTATGAAGATTCTAGGGTTGTTTGCTACTATATGCTAATATAACTTACCCTGTCTGATACATTTGATTTGGTTATAAATATCATTTGTATTGTTAATTTCCTGCCTTTTCTATCAATTAAAAAGATAAGATTTAAAATCTTCTTTATGATTATGGAGCTCTCATAAAGTTTTCAATGTTTGCTTATATTTTGAAGTTCTTTTAAATGAATTTAAAATTTGAATGATTAATTCTTCTGACAAATTATGGTTTTTATTATTATGAAGTTACTTCTTTAACTCTAATAGTATTTAATGTCTTAAAGTCAATTTTACCTGATAGTATCAGCTATATCACATTTTAGAGRGAGAGAAGAAGAATTAGTGTTTGTTTGGTATCTTTTACTTCCAACTTCTCTCTAGTCAGCATAAATTAGTTGTGTTTTATATTCTTATCCAGTTTGATGATCCTCATCTTTTGAATGTTGACACAGATTTAATATAATTACTAATATTTTTCAGTTTAATCTTACCATTCTATTTATGCCACTTAGTTCAATTTTTGTATTTTTAACATATTATACATTTTCTAATTTATATTTTTCTTTTTTATATTGGTTACCATATAAACTATAACATACAACCTTGATTATCAAAGACTAATGTTATTTGGTTCTTTTACTTTCCACTTACAGAAAAGAAGGACATCAGAACATTCTGATTCCTTTACCTTTTCCCTGACTTCTATGCTGCTGTGTTGTGTATTTTAATTCTGGGTAAATTTTAAACCACTTATTATTATCCCCCTAAATCAGAAATTAATTCATTCATGTAAATGTTTTTGTCATTGAAAAAAGTAAGTGAAGTTAACTTTCAAAAGAAGAAATTAGAAAAGAACAACTAAAATACAACTTAAAGTAGGAGGAAGGAAATAATAAAGATTAAAAATCTTAAAGACTTTTAAGAGAAAGAAAAAATGGATCATAAATCCAAGAATGGATTTTTAAGAAAATCCCAATAAATTGACCAAAGCCTTGACAAATCTACTTAAAAAAAAGAAAAGGAAATAAAAAAGTTGAAAAGGGGTGTATCAACAGATATATAACTTTAAACACTTAAAGTGAATAATATGAACAACTTTGCTAATCTATGGGTTTGAATCTGTCCATGACACAGCTATGTAAAAAATATGACATTATCTTTCTGTAATTCATCCAATTATATTTTTGAAACCCTAAGTCATTGGCCTGGGACAAAAACCTGATCTCAGTCAGTTTGGAGTTTCCTACTTTTAGTCTCATTTGAGGTGTATGAGGAGAGATCTCTATGTTACCAGGGAAGGGCAGGGAAAACGTACTCGTACTCCCCTTGCCCTAAATGTTATCTGTTCATGCAGGAATCTTCTGAGACATCCATCATCCTATCTGGTCCACAGTCATTGATCCACACCATTTGCCACTGAGATGTCATCATTTCTGATTGCCTATTTCTTCAGGTATGGTGTTGTGCTCTCACTGTAATGACATGTCACATATAGGAGAATGTACATAATGCCTAATTCAATGTAAATGCTGTGTAAATAGTTATTATATTGTTTAGGGAACAGAGACAAGGAAAAAAGTCTGTACATTTTCAGTACAGATGCACCAGATGGGTCAAAGGTTTACMTATAAAGAAATGAAAGCCACAAAAGAATTGCAAGAAACTATTGTGAGGTTTTGAAAATCATAATAATAGATGGAGAGAAAATCCTTTCTGTGTATGTCACAAGATTCAAAAACCAGGAAGTTAATATTGATATATTAAATCAAACATATATGTAGCCTGGGTTCAGAAACTCAAACAGTCTCACTTATAGGTGTATTCTCCACCATTTCTACACCAATATACCTGTAAAAAAAGTGCATGGCAATGTGTTTATAATTGCTTTTTTTAATAAAAGGAATCCATCAACAACAGAACAGATAAATAAACTATAGTATCGGTGTATAGTTAAGAATTTAACCTTGCCCAAAGAAGTCTGACCTTTGGGAGATAATCAATAAACCTGTAAAATATTGTACCCAATATGAGTATATTTGTTTGCAAGTAACTTTGGAACTTGTGATCTAGATAGTCTTAACACTGTGATTTAGCATGGAGGATAATCAATAAGAAAACACCCTACAATCTAATAGATAAATATGCAGAAGATATGATCATACAACACACAAAAAGAGGAAAATATAAATGGCTCTTAATTTTATAAAGTATGCTCAAACTTATTCATAATAAGAGAAGTATAGATTTAAATTTAATTGGAGAGATTGTTTTTCACCATCAGATTAAAGATTCAAGTTTGTTATTAAACTTGGTAAAGGTTTAGGGAAGTAGGTACTCTCTCTACTGGTGAGGAAGAAAATTGTTAAAGCTTCAGTAAAAGGCAATTTGACAATACCTATTAAAATTAGAAATATATTTACCCATTACTCCCAAGTTCTACATGTAGTAATTTATTCTGTAGTTATTTTCACACACCTATGAAAAGACATGTTTACAGGTTATTTGTGGCAATATGACTTTTTTTTAAATCTCCATTTATGATAGACTGATTAAATCAATTTGATACATTACAATCACAAAAATATGTAGGAATTCTTTGCTTACTGATTAGAATGGCCTTCAACTATGTCTGTACAGAATGGTATATAAAATATGTTACCATTTGTGGAAATAGTAGTGGTGAAGATAAGAACATATCTTCTTATTAGCCTATAAGTGCTTACAAATATCTTTGGAAAGATATGCAAAACATTTGTAAGACTTATTGTCATCTTTGAGAAATGTTTTGACCTGAGTGTCTGTGTCCCCCTCCAATTTTTTTTTATTTGTTCTAATTAGTTATACATGGCGGTAAAATGCATTTGGACACATTGTACACAAATGGAGCACAACTTCTCATTCCTCTGGCTGTCCCCAAAATTTATATGTTGAAGTCTTTATCCCCAATGTGATGGTATTAGGAGGTGGGCCTTTGGGAGGCGATTGGATTTAGATGAGGTTACAAGGGTGGAACCCTTCTGGTGGGATTAATGCTGTAGGAGGAAGAGACACCAGAGCTTTCTCTTTCTATTCTGTGAAGATACCATGCCGCAGTCCGGCTGGGCACAATTCAGGAGCCACTTGTCAAAAGAAACTAACTTTATTTTTAGAACCACACACGCCAAACAAAACAGCTCCTCAGGAAAAACCTTCAGAGCCCAACTGCCACCACCGGCTTCCCACAAGCCTCTCCACCTCCCTCATTCCTCCTGCCCTTGAGGCTGATTAGCTGGGTCGCATGGGCGGAGCCAAAAAAGTCCCCCAATGAGCAGCTCCGTGGTCTGAAAGGGCAGGGAAACAGCCCAATGAGCATCACCGCAGAGGAGCCAATCAGTTGGCAGCTAGAAGTTGCTGGGGCCACTATGAGCCAATCATCAGCTGGCAGCTGGAAGTTTGCTGGGGCCCCTTTGGCTGTGGCTCTCAACAATACCATAAAAGAGGTAGCCTGTAAGCAAAAAGTGGTCCCTCACCAGTCATGAGAACTACTAACACTTCAATCTTTGACTTCCTAGCTTCTAGAAATGTGAGAAATAAATTCTATTGTGGTATTTTGTTATAGCAGTTTTAGGTGACTAATACAGGGAAAATTTTGATGAATGGGTGACAGGTGAAAAGGAGACCTTTTACCTTTAAATTTTTAAATTATGGTGAATGTAATCACTATCCAAAAATAAACAGGGGGCTGGGGTTGTGGCTCAGTGGTAGAGCACTTTTCTATCATGTGTGAGGCCCTGGGCTCAATTCTTAGCACCACATATAAATAAATAAAATAAAGGTCCATTGACAACTAAAAAAAAACTTTAAAAATAAATAAATATGGTCTATCTTGTAATTTAATTAGTCATTGATATATTTTCAATTTTAGAATAAAAGATAACATCAAGAAAGAGAAAAAGAAGGAAAAGAGGGGAAACGATTACATATGTCACCGTTTTAAGGTATCATATAGTTTTAGAAGATTATGGTGTAATACTTTTGATCATTGGTTTGTATTTTCAATCAGTTTGGTTTGTCAAGATCATAATCACAGTGTCCATGGTGTTAAAGAGAAAATTATGTGTATTATTTTTTCTTGTTAGTTTTATCTATAATATATAGATATTTTAAAATTTAGGTTTACATTGTCATCTCTTAAATATCTGTATTAAGATAAATAGAGTAGACTTGTGTACTCCAAAACAGCAAAAAGACCTATTGCATTATTTTCAATCCATGTACCTTCAAAGAGTAATATTCACTGAACAGTTACCTACTTTTAAATTTTATTTTTTTAAAAAAATATATGTAACATAGCTTCATGTAATGTCCTTGGAATCATTTAGCCTAGTTAAAATACAGAATTACTAGGTCCTTAGAAAAGAAACCTATTGAATAACTATCAAAATAAATATGATAAAAATGACAACATTGGTTTTCATCTTATATTTTATCTTGTGTATAATATAGTTGGGGTAATATGCACTCTTCCAAATCAGGTGCTTATAGATACATTAAGAAATTATTTTAGCTTGTTAAACCTGGTATCCAAACTTGAACACTTCATATTTATAACTGTGACTATATTTCTGTTTGTATTTGTCCAAACTTTTCTACATGTTCCAAAAAGGCAGAGACTTCTAGAGCATAAATGCTGTCTTAAGAGTACAGTTCTCTGACACCCAAAACAGTGATTAATCTGTTTCAAATTAGTAAACCTTGTAAGCCTCCCCAAAAGGAGACAATGGTGTTTGAGTCAAACATCAAAAGATGAATGGATTTTAGTTGGCAGGAAAAAAGGGTAAGAGCATTCCAGGCTGAGGGCAAAGCATTAGCCAAGGCAAAAGGAGCAAAAGTCTATTTTGGATCAGGAAATTTGTAGATGAAACTACAAGGTAAGAGATGGCATGTAACAAATGAGACCAGAGTAAAGTTTTGGGACTAGTTTGAATTTTATTCTGTGGGCAGCAGGAACATTTGAACACTAAAAACAGGAGAAAAAAAATGACATTCTCTAATCTCTTATCTAGAAAGATATGTCAATATCAGAATGATTTGGAAGTAATAACCTACAAAATGTAGTTGTGCCTTAATGAAGAAGAGATATATTAATACAGCCAATTATAGATCAAACTAAAGAGAGTGACTATGGGGTTGATAAGGGAAGAACAAATGGAAGAAATACTGTGTATGACCTGGTATTTGGATATGGAAAGTTTGGAAGACAGTTTTGTAAAAATTCATTGTTTTAATGGAAGAAATCTTATTAAAGGGGCATCCCAAATGTTTTTTTAAAGAGTTTTTTCTTTTTTAAAAAAATTATTTATTTGTTGTAATTTGTTATACATGACAGTAGAATGCATTTCAATTCATAATATACATAGGAGCATAATTTTTCATGTCTCTGATTATACACAAAATATAATCACACCAACTTGTGTCTTCATACATGTACTTAGGGTAATGATGTCCATCTCATCTCACCATTTTTCCAACCCCCATGCCCCCTCCCTTTCCCCGTCTCCCCTTTGCCCTTTCTAAAGTTCCTCCATTTCTCCCATGCTCCCCACTGATCCGCATTATGGATCAGCATCCACATATCAGAGAAAACATTTGGCCTTTTGTTTTGGGGGATTGGCTTACTTCACTTAGCATGATATTCTCCAACTCCATACATTTACCTGCAAATGCCATAATTTTATTCTCTTTTAATGCTGAGTAGTATTGCATTGTATATATATACCACATTTTCTTTATCTATTCATCTATTGAAGGACATCTAGGTTGGTTACACAATTTAGCATCTAGATTGGTTCCACAATTTAGCTATTGTGAATTGTGCTGCTATAAACATTAATGTGGCTGTGTCACTGTAGTATGCTGTTTTTAAGTCCTTTGGGTATAAACCAAGGAATGGGATATAGCTGGGTAAAATGGTGTTTACATTCCAAGTTTTCCAAGGAAACTCCATACTGCTTTCCAGATTGGTTGCACCAATTTGCAGTCCCACCAGCAATGTATTAGTGTACCTTTTCCCCACATTCTTGTCAACCCTTATTGTTGTTTGTATTCTTAATAGTGGCCATTATGACTGGTGTGAGATAAAAATCTTAGAGAAGTTTTGATTTGCATTTCTCTAATTGCTAGAGATGTTGAACATTTTTTCATATATTTGTTGATTGATTGTACATCTTCTTCTGAGAAGTGTCTATTCAGTTCCTTGGCCCATTTATTGATTGGGTTATTTATTTTTTTGGTGTTAAGATTTTGAGTTCCTTTTTTCCCCCCATTGATTTTGATATTTTATGAGTGGTTTCTGAAGATGGGGTAAGCTTCTTTTATGAGAACATTTATCCTACCTTAATTTTGTTTTTATTTATTTATTTATTTATTTATTTATATTTGTTCTATATAACAGAAGAAGCATTTCAATTCATATTATGCGTATAGAGCATAATTTTTCATTTGTCTGGTTGTACACAAAGTAGAGTCACACCATTCTTGCCTTCATATATGTACTTAGGATAATGGTGTTCATTTCATTCCACCATCTTTCCTACCCCCATGCCCAAGATTTTTGAGTTCTTTATATATCCTAGAGATTAGTGCTCTATCTGATGTGCATGTGGTGAAAATTTGCTCCCATTCTGTAGGTTCTCTATTCACCTCACTGATTGTTTCTATTGCTGAGAAGAAGCTTTTTAGTTTGAATCCATCCCATTTATTGATTCTTGATTTTATTTATTGTACTATAGAGTCTTATTAAGGAAGTTGGGGCCTAATCTGACATAATGAATATTTGGGCCTACTTTTTCTTCTATTAGGCACATGATGATATAATGACATGATGAATATTTGGGCCTACTTTTTCTCCTATTTCTTCTATCTGGTTTAATTCCTAGGTCCTTGATACACTTTGAGTTGAGTTTTGTGCATGGTAAGAGATAGGGACTTAATTTTATTTTGTTGCATATGGAGTTCCAGTTTTCCCAGAACCATGTGTTGAAGGGGTTATTTTTTCTCCAATATAGGTTTTTGGCACCTTTGTCTATATAAGATAACTGTATTTATGTGCATGTGTCTCAGTGTCCTCTACTCTGTACCATTGGTCTACAAGTCTATTTTGGTGCCAATACCATGCTGTTTTGTTTCTATTGTTCTGTAGTAGAGTTTAAGGTCTAGTATAGTGATGCCACTTGCTTCACTCTTCTTGCTAAGGATTACTATTCTGAGCTTCTTATTTTTTCAGATGAAGTTCATGACTGCTTTTTCTATTTCTATGAGAAATGTCATTGGGATTTTGATTAGAATTGTATTAAATCTGTAGAGAGATTTTGGTAGTATGGTCATTTTGACAATATTAATTCTGCCTATCCAAGAACAAGGGAGATCTTTTCATCTTCTAAGGTCTTCTTTAATTTTTTCTTTAGTGTTCTGTACTTTTCATTGTAGAGGTCTTTTACCTCTTTCGTTAAGTTAATTCCCAAGTATTTTTTTGAGACTATTATAAATGGGGTATAATTTTCCTAGTTTCTCTTTCAGAGGATTTGTCACTGGTATACAAAAATGCCTTTGATTTGTAGGTGTTTATTTTATATCCTGCTACTTTGCTTGAATTCATTTATTAGTTCAAGAAGTTTTCTGGTGGAATTTTTTGGCTTCTCTAGGTATGGAATCATGTCCTTGGCTAATAGTGATAGTTTGAGTTCTTCTTTTCCTATCAGTATCCCTTTAATTTCTTTTGTCTGTCTAATTGCTCTTGCTAGAGTTTCAAGAACTATGTTAAATAGAAGTGGTAAAAGAGGGCATCCCTGTCTTGTTCCAGTTTTTAGAGGTAATGCTTTCAGGTTTTCTCCATTTAGAATAATGTTGGCCTTGGGTTTAGCATAGATGGCTCTTGCAATATTGAAATGTTTCTGTTATCCCTCATTTTTCTAGTGTTTTGAACATGAAGGGGTGCTGTACTTTGTTGAATGCTTTTTCTTCATTGATTGAGATGATCATATGATTCTTATGTTTAAATCTACTGATGTGATAAATTACATTTATTGATTTCCATATGTTGAATCAACATCCCTGGGATGAACCTCACTTAATTATGATGCACTATCTTTTTGACATGCTTTTATATTCAATTTGACAGAATTTTATTGAGAATTTTTGCATCTATATTAATTAGAAATATTGGTCTGAAGTTTTTTTTGATGTTTTAGAATCAGCATGATATTTGCCTCATAAAATGAGTTTGCAAGTGTTCCCTCTTTTTCTATTTCATTAAATAATGAAAAAAATTTGAGGAGTATTAGTATTAGTTCTCATTTGAAGGTCTTGTAGAACTCAGCTGTGTGTCCATCTGGTCCTGGGTTTTTCTTGGTTGTTAGGTTTCTGGTGGCATCTTCTATTTCATTGCTTAAAATTGATCTGTTTAAATTGTGTATATCATCCGGATTCAGTTTGGGCAAATCATAGGACTCTAGAAATTTGTCGATGCCTTCAATATTTTCTACTTTATTGGAGTACAAATTTTCAATATAATTTGTAATTATCTTCTGAATTTCTGTAGTGTCTATTGTGATATTTCCTTTTTCATCATGGATATTAGTAATCTGAGTTTTCTCTCTCCTTCTCTTCATTAGCACGGCTAAGGGTTTATCAATTTTCTTTATTTTTTTCAAAAAACCAAATTTTTTTGTCAATTTTTTTAGTTGTTTCAATTTCATTTATTTCAGCTCTGATTTTAATTATTTCCTGTCTTCTGCTGCTTTTGGTGTCAATTTGTTCTTCTTTTTCTAGGGCTTTGAGATGTAATGTTAGGTCATTTATTTGTTGACTTTTTCTTCTTTTAAAGAATAAACTCCATGCAATGAACTTTCCTCTTAGTACTGCCTTCAGAGTGTCCAAAAGATTTTGATATGCTGTATCAATGTTCTTATTTAACTCTAAGAATTTTTTAACCTCCTCT